AGAAGGAAGAGTTGGGCACTGCAGCAAACAGGTTCTAACTGGGAATGTGAGTATATAAAATGACATCCTATAATACAAAAAAGCTCTTCTTCCATTGAAACTTCAGGGCTATATTGTCTGTGAAACAAGTTATAAGGGTTCTTCCTGATTGTATCTTTCAGCCAATGCTGCTAAGGGAGGCATGTCCCGATGAATGAAAATATTGGCTAACCCTAATGGAGAAAATGGCTCTTTCATCAGACTGTAGCTGACATAATCTGGCATCCACAAACTTTGTTACTGGTGCAATTGCACAACACACAACAAACAAACAAAAAAGGAATCCAAACTGGCCTCTCAGTTTAAAATAAGTCTGCATTGATGACAGAAATAGACAGACAGACATTTTTAATGATTTTCAATATTATGACAATAATGATGATGGTGATGAAGAAGGTAAATCTGATCTGCCACTTCCAAAGTGACAAGCACAGAGCACCAGTGACACTTTACCAAATGCTTTTCAGAGGAAAAAGAAGAGTATTACCTTTGTGAAAGTACTCATAGTCTTTATTGAAGATGTGATGGTCTAAGAAGTTAAGAGAGGCAAGTTTGAAAGGTAGCATCTTTTATTAGAGGCAACATCTTCTACTAAACAAGTTAATAAAGCTGAAAAAAAGGACGAGGCTTTTAGAAAAGCAGGCTTGTTTTGGTGAAAGTGTGTCCATTTCTGCAGTCACATTGGCTGACCTAATGCTCTTTCATGTCATGCCATTTTGATAGAGGAAAATGCTCAGACTTCTTTGAAGAGAACACAAGAAGTTCTTTATATGGTGGCTATATTACCCTTTACATATAAATCCACTAATATCGGTAACTGTTGTTGTCACATTTACCTAAGGTATTCAGGTAGTAGTATTTAGATCATATTGTGCTTTGTTATTATGACACCTGACAACTACTGTTTGAAATCTGATTATGGACATAATTGCATTTCACTTTCCTTGTGGAGACCAGAATAATATGCTCCAAGAACATGAACCAAATTTACCTTGGGAAAATCTGGGAGAAATACACTGAAGACTTGCATAGATCTCTCACTTCCTAAGGCTTCCCAAGGAAGCTCAATCTGATTTATTTGTAAATGTCAGTTTGAAAGACTCCTGAAACTTACTCCTCTCCTTTTATTCTCTGCTGTATCCTTCCTTCACCATTCAGCCTGAAAAGGATTACAGAGCTAGACATTATTTTTGGTGCAGCTGCTGCTGTGACTAAAGTTTAACATAACCTGACACCTCATTAGCAGGTCTGTGTTCATAAAGGTATTGTGGAAATTAGCTGATTTTGGTCATGTTGAGCGTTTTTATACAACTTTCACCTCTAAGCAGAGCAGAAGGAATTAACTGTCTCTGCATGTTCAATGATTCACTTAGCATAGAAATCTCCAGACTTCACTTATTCTTTGCATTCAACTGAGCTGACCTTAAGAACGCATAATATATTCTTATATGTGTGATTTTTACACTATTAAACCATTACTAAGTGCTGTAAAAAGTGTTTCATTAACTAATATCTGCTGTAATTTGCTGTTTGATGTTAAATTTTCACTTGTTAATCTCAAAAGTACCTAGGCTCAAAATAGTTTACTGAAAAAAAATGAACAGTCAGATCCTTTATTTACATCTGCTTATTTTTTGTTTACAGATGTACCCACTTCTTATCCTAGTTAATATTTTACTATCAAAATGTGCAGGAGGAAAAGAGATGGGGAAAGAAATGAAAGCAGTCAATTAATTCAGTTTTGATATAATGGAGACTATTTGGAAATGTATTATCAAGAGAGGATCACATTTTTTCCACATATGGTACATACAGGACACCCACACAATTGATGAGACAAAAGAATTTCTCTCCTTGCTATTATTCATTGCAGTTCATCCCTTTAAAAACAATAATAAAAAAGAAATGGAATAAAAAAAATAACCAAGGAAAATAAAGATTTCCCAAAGATGAAACTGTGAAAATGACCTGGGCTTCTTACCTTGGCAAAGGTTTCCCAGATTTGCACAACTGGTTGGTTCAATTGCAGAAGAGGGAATTAGGTATGAGCCTTTGGAAAAAGGAAGCAAAATAATTAGAAAGGCTTGGCTACTGGGCATAAAACTATCGTGTCTCAAAATACATTACACTTTGCAGTGACATAGTCCTCTTCCTAATTTCTTTCAGTGGCAAAACTGATACTGCCATTTGCCTGAAAGATTTATGTGTTTGCATTTTCTGTTGCGGCTGAGGCATCCATGAAAACCATGCTGACTTGCAAGTTACAGTGACTTACGTATCCTCCCCTGGTTCTCTTAGTTTTCACTAACATAGCATTAAATGATTGCAGCCTGTGTGTACTCTGTGAAATGGCTTTAAGTAGAGGGGTCAGTATGGCCACAGGACTTATGCAATCCCAATGAGTAATAGTGCATGCCTCAGAGAAGCAACCACGCTCTGCTGCTGTAGCACAGGTTACCTACCTTGCACTTCTGAGTAATCTGCCTGTGACAGACACCAACCAGATAAAAGGTGATTAAACTTGTTCCTCTGCCCAGGGCGTGGTTGTGATTAATATTCTGGTATGCAGGATTTATATGCAGATAATGTTACAAGTCTCTATCTCCACTGAATTACTCATAACATGTACACACTTTAAGGATCTGAAGACAAAATCAGGGCATATAAGAATGGCTGCAGAAAAAGAACTGGTGAAACCGCATTAATTACACTTTATGTATCCCAGCAGGTCAGCTGCAGATACAGTGGCTTTTGCACAGAGTTGGAAATAATGGGGCAATAGAGTATGGCATAATCTGAACCTACTGGGAGCGTTTGCCCTTCTGGCTTTTGCTTTACCACTTCAAGATTATATTGACTCAAAGAGGTTCTCTCATGAAACATCGTATCCTTCCATAAAACTAAAGAGCCACCACCCACCAGATCATAAAGATAGCTGGGAAAATGTTTCCTGTGATGCAAGAACAGATGAAGCACAGGGCCTCAACACAGAAATCATGTCAGGCCACAGACACCATTACATGTAGTGCCTAAAAAGATAGGGCAGGCTTAAAACACGTTATCCTCAACAAATATAAAAACTCAACTTTTTTTTTTTTTTTAATGGATTAAGAGGTTCAGACAAATTCTCTTCCTTAGTACACTTCCCATGAACTCTGGAAAGGATGGTCTAAGTGAATGCCCTACCTCCTGTGTGAGATTTTTTTCCCCCCGAAAAATATATTTGCTAATGCTAAACAGTCAATATCAAAACCTGCTGTAAGTTATCTCCTTTTGGTTCTATATAATGGAAAGATGATCTGAAAGTTGGCTTGGAAAATCTGTGGACCTTCATATTTTCTTTAGTGAGTAGTTAAAAAATATTTTACTTGGTGAAACTGAAAAAACTTTACAAAACTCTTAAATTAGAAGACTGTTGTATTGGTTTTGCGTGGCAAGGTTTTGGCAGCTGGGTATCTACATAGCTGGCTTCTGTGAAAAGCTGCTAGAAGCTTCCCGTATGTCCAACAGAGACAATGCCAGCTGGCTCCAAGACAGACCCACCACTGGCAAAGGCCAGGCCCATTGGTGAAAAGTGGTAGCACCTCTGAGATAACGTAGTTAAGAAGCGGCAGAAAATAATTGCACAACTGCAGCCAGAGAAAGGAATGATAATATGTGAGAGTAACAGCTCTGCAGACACCAAGATCAGTGCAGAAGGAGGGGAGTAGGTGCTTCAGGTGGTGGAGCAGAGGTTCCCCTGCAGCCCATGGTGCAGACCAAGGTGAAGCAGGCTGTCGCCCTGCAGCCTATGGAGGTCCACAGTGGAGCAGATGTCCACCTGCCCATGATGGTAACTGCTGAGTGATCTCTCCCCATCTTTATCTCGACCCACAAGCCTTTTGTTATATTTTCTCTCCCCTGCCCAGCTGAGAAGGGGAGTGATAGAGTAGCTCTGGTGGGCACCTGTCATACAAACAGCGTTAACCCACCACAACTGTATACTTTAAATATCTTCAGTAAATATATTTATGAAGCCAAGTAGCATGGTCAGTAATGTGAACAGCAGATATAGACTTGTATTATGGAAACTTGTCTAATATATCTCACTCACTTTAAATGTCTGAAACTCAGACATCCGTATCTGCTTGTCTTTGAAGTCTATGAAGACTTTCTTCATAGTCAGTGAAGAGGAACTCCTACAGCAAAATCTTCTGACTTCACTGAAACATCTTCTCCAGTATGAGAGGCACTGACCTTTGGAATAGCCTTTTTCTTTCCATTATTCATAAACAGCACTGAGGGGAATTAGCTCAGCCTGAAACATCATTCAGCTGCCTAAGGAGGACAGATCCCACCTTGAATTAAATCTGACAGCAAAATTAAGAATTCCTCTGGCCTTGGGGAAAAAAGGGCTCATATGAAGCACACATGAAGCAAGTGCAATTGCAGGCATGGTCAGACATGGGGCCACATTACCCTTAACTGAGTAGATCGTATTATGCTACTGGTGTAGCCAGTTCAGGCTCCAAAATTAGTACCAGAAGTTGATTAAATGCTCCCCAGTTTGCACTGAGCTCTGAACTGTTGCTGGTACACTGCTATCGCTACCTAGGCTACTTATTTAAAAATTAGTCTGGATACTCAGGCTGTGTACATATACCTTTAAATGCGAGCCGTGTGAAGGTATGGCAATAAAAACAGAATTCCATCAAGTCTTACAGAAACACCCCACCATGATTGCACAGCTGTGAAAACATTAGTCTAAGGAATAAAGTAGGAGAAGGTAAAACTAAGTAAAGATTATCTGGAACAATTTGCCAGTGTTTTTATGCTCCGTAAATCTACTTGTAAAATCTTTGTCTGAAAAAACATGAAAATAATAGCCCTTGAAAAATGTAAGCACTGTTCAGGCACAGATATGTTGAGATCATTGCTAAATGCGTGGTTTGGGTTTTTTTAAGTTACATGCTGCTTCCTCAGGAAGCAGTGGAGCTGTGAAGAAACCTCTTTTCTGCCTAAATCCTTCCACTGGTGCTAAATGAAGCCTAATCAGTTAGATTCATCTCCCCACTGTCAGTGGTTTATTCATGGGTGATAGCCTGACTCATCAACTCTCCTGTTGAAGGCTGGTTTTACAATGAAGGCTTTTATTCAAGAAGACGAAGGGAAGAAAATTCTAACAATTCCATCTCTGGGATTAGTAACCATGTTTGAAATGGCACTGCACCCAGTATTTTCTTTTAGCAAATACTCTGGGTCAGGAAAGCCTGTATCACAGAGGGTGATTTAGCATCTTCAAAAGAAAAAGACTAACTAGTGAGTTAGCTTTCTCATAGGCCTGGAGGAAGTAACAATGCTTACATATAAATATATTTGAAATTATTTGTATAGACACCTGGGCCCAACCTATTAATGCTAGTATACATTTTCTAAACTAATAGTCTGCTGTAAGGAACCACTGAACAATGAAATCCCAAGGACTAAAGCTGTGAAATGAAAATAAATGTACTGTTTCTATGAGTACAGCTCTGGTATTACATTTGTGTCACAGGACTGTACAGGTTTTAACAGAAAGAAGGGCAAGACCCATACTCCAGTCAAAATTAAATAAAACCACAACAATTACATAGGCCTTGGTAGGTTGTTTAGTAGAAGTGTTGTGGTAGTCTTCATGGTATAATGGTGTAAGAGGAGTAAGATTTTCTAGGAATTCATTTTCATTCAGATCGGTTTTTACTGAGGGAAAAGCAACTTTGGCTTTTTCTGTCCAGAATGCCTTCACCAGTCATGGTCAAGGTTTAGATCAGCCTTTTCTTTGCTCTGGTAGAGGGGTGAAGACACCTAGTTGCTTCTGTTTTCACAGACGTGTTGCTTAAGGTTTTTTAGCAGATGAGAACTGTCCCAGCGAATCTAACTGTGAAGGAGTACCTCACACTTTGGTTTGAGTGAACTAAAGCAAGCAAGATGTTTTTTTAGCCACCTTAATTCCTCATGAGCTATTAGATACAGAAACTAGCACGCCTTAACAATGCCAGCTTCTGTTTCAAGCTAAGGATTCTCATAGCGCTGACAGATGCTCGGTCAGGAGACACTTACAGTGACACTATTTAAACTATGTTTAAACTAACAAGGATTAAGGTGTCAGAGGAACAAGAAGGCAAAATTGGAGAGGAGATTAGATATGCAGAGACCCTACATGGTTCAGAAAGAACCAATATTTGTAAATGTTTAGTTTGACTTTTCTGGGTGTTTTTTGGTTGGTTGGGTTGGGGTTTTTTGTGTTTTTTTTGTTTGTTTGGTTGTTTTTTTTAACAAATGTCAGGAATGTATTTGCTATAATAGGAGGTCTCAAACTCTGGTAAGAGTTGATTTGCACAAGCATATGTGTGTCTAGGCTACTGCTGCTAAGATTGTCCCTTATGCATTTTATAATTATCTAAATATCTCTAAAGTTGTTACTTAGCAAAAAAAAAAGAAAAAATACTGGTCCAAAGTGACAAAGATTTTTCAGTTTTTGATGTTCCAGTAGAAAATTGTCAATCACCTGTAATAACATATACATATGTAAGAATTACACCTGGATAATTATGAGAATCATAGAATCATGGTTAGGGTTGGAAAGGACCTTAAGAACACCCAGTTCCAATCCCCCTGCCATGGGCAGGGACACCTTCCACTAGACCAGGTTGCTCAAAGCCTCATCCAACCTGGCCTTGCAAACTGCCGGGGATGGAGCATTCACAGCTTCCTTGGGCAACCCATTCCAGTGCCTCACCACCATCACAGTAAAGAAGTTTTTCCTTTTATCTAACCTAAATCTCCCCTGTTTAAGTTTGAACCTGTTACCCCTTGTCCTATCACTACAGTCTCTGATGAAGAGTCCCTCTCTGGCATCCTTGTAGGCCCCCTTCAGATACTGGAAGGCTGCTATGAGGTCTCCATGCAGCCTTCTCTTCTCCAGGCTGAACAGCCCCAACTTTCTCAGCCTGTCTTCACACGGGAGGTGCTCCAGCCCCCTTATCATCTTTGTGGCCCTCCTCTGGACTTGTTCCAACAGCTCCATGTCCTTCTTATGTTGCGGACACCAGAACTGTACACAATACTCCAAGTGAGGCCTCATGAGAGCAGAGTAGAGGGGCAGAAACACCTCCTTTGAACTGCTGGTCACGCTTCTTTTCATGCAGCCCAGGATACGGTTGGCGTATCTGAGCATCTGAGGCATGAAATGAGAAGACGTTGGACAATGTATTGAAATTTATCTTCCAGAGTAATCTACAGGAAAAAAGTCATTCAGTAATTACCAGTTAAAAGAAGGAATAATAATAAATTTAGATTTTGATCTAAACCTCTTCCTATCTACCTCCTCTAATTTAATATTTTCTCACACTTTTCTGTCTCATATGTATTGTTGTTTTCTCACTGCTTTTGCTGGCTCTGCACACACAGCACAAGGCTAGCAAGTGCTCTTCTGGCTAATCAAAGGGCCAAAGGGGAGGCACAAAACTATATCCTAAATGGTTAGTTAACATACATCTTTTTTTCTCCAGATACCACTATAATCTTCCTTGAGGCTAGCAAGCATTTGCCTGTTATCCCCTTTTCATATGAGTAGAAGTCCAGGAAACAAACTGTTTAGAAAAAAATTTGATATGCAGATCAGTTCAAGCAGCAACTCAATATACTTAGGGGACTTGTTCTTTCCCCCTAGCGAATCAAATCTACACCCTTTCAAAGCCTCTGTGTATGGTAAGAGTTGAGCTGAAGTCTAATAGAGGTAAGAGCTAGCTGTGCTTCTTTCACAGGAACTCGCTTATTTTCTTCATGCTGGTATATGATACGTTCAGCACAGTGCACAAGTGTGTGGGGAAAATAAGCAAAAAAGATTTGGCAAGGCAAACTCACCACAACTCAAATTGTTTTCTGCTTTCAGTGCTGAAGTTGGAATACTCCAGAATTCATTTTCCCAGTCTACAATGTTTCCTTTCACATCACAGCTGAGGTTGGCCAGTGTTTGTGAATTCATGGTGAAATTCCAGAGGCGGAAGTTGTAAATGTCCCCATTTAGAGAGCTCACTTCATTGCTGTTAGAGCCCAGCACCAGCCTGCCGTTTCCAGGGATAACTTTGCCAAAGATACCTGGACAGTACACTATATGATAGATGCTTTTAGCATATATACCTATGCTGCCCGAGAAGCTATCCCCTATCACGCAGAGCTGTCGAAAAGTTCCTGTGAAAAAATCTGCGTTTCGGGGCAATGCATTCTCAAGGATGCACTGCGTGCCTGAGATGGACAGAAAATGGCCTTTTGTGGTCTTCCCAAAGCTGAAGAATTCTTTTGACAATGCATCGGTGTAGGAGAAAACCTTCCAGTCATCATTGTCATCGCTGCTGCCCTTGGTTGCTTCAAAGCACAGTGTAAACTGGCTAAGCTCTGGCACTGAGACAGTCTCTGCCACAGCCACAACATCGACATCAGGAACCTGGGGAATGATGACTTTCTGATTCCTCAGAGACACGGCAACTAGAACCAAGAGCAGATAAATAAATTAAAAAATACAAAATCATCATATAGAAATAAAGGCAGACTGGCAGCACGGACTAAAGTTACATTCATTAAGTCAAACATTCATCAGGTGTTTTTTATCACTGTAATATACCAATAGCACCCACAAAGGGGAATTTGGCTTGGGAGTGCACTCAGCTGAAAATGTACAGTTCCTTTTCAGTAACACGGAGAATGCTGTGCTACATGCAGTTAACAGTCTCTCAAGATGCATTAAGAACTAGGGCATATTACCTACTAACTTCTAACTCTGCCTCAGCTCACTTTATAAAAACTACTACTCATTCATCTAGTAAGGATGCATTAGGCAATGGAATAAACAAGTTACTTGAAAAACACAGTATGACTTCTTTTTAAGTTACATTATTTTAACTTGTCTGCATGACTGCATTACACCAATGAAGTTCAGATCTTGCTTCTTTTAAATACTGCAATAGAAGAAAGCCCCCATTAAATTCCTTGGCAAACTGAAGCCTTTTGTTCTTGAATGCAGCTAAAGGGTTTTTGAAAAGCATTAGGCATCTTCTCATTTTGTCCCCATCAGCCTTCTGGTCGACTACTGAAATAATGAATATTTATATCCGAGCTGTTCACCATTTGCTAATATTTGGGTCAGCAATTTTGGATTTTGCACAAGTATCTAGAAATGGCTAGTCCTCCTGCAAATATGCACTGCAGTAAGGGTATTTAGGCATCGGTAGAATTACTTTGTCTCTAATTATTATTAAGTATTCTCATTTGCACTGGCAAAATGGTAGACATCAAATGTAAAAACCAGTATTACACAACATATGCTTTTTCTCCATGAGGATATTAGTGACAATTCTGTCCACCGTACTTTGGAGAACATTATTTTTCAAAATTGTCAATATGATCAGTTTTATCAGCACATGTATGGCAGCAAAATTCTTCTAGTAAATTTCTCCACAAAAAGAAGTTTCAGGTTTTCAGACATGCAAAGGCATTAAGGTCAACAAGAGTGGACTGCAGCAGCCTTTGGTTACACTTCTGGTTCCACAGTCTTGTGACAGACCACATCTACAGCAAATGTCTGCTACCTCTTTTATATATTTTCACAGTGTATATGCTGGAAATTAAACTGTTTTTTTGCTAGACCTGAAGCAGTAACTGTCACAGCAATTAATCCCTAGTCTCTTATGGGATTTTTAAGGGATGCCACAACACATACATTAATTACTGCTCTCTTCTCAGAATGAAATAAAAATCTTTCAATAAGAGATGGCGAGACATGAGAGAAGGGTTACTATCACACCACACTCAGGAAGAGACAGATACGTTGGATATAAGGATTCTGTGTAGTCTATGGTATTGCAACTTCCGTTTGCCAGCTGCTCGCAAAGTCTCTGAGCTCCCAACTACCACATTTGGATATACACAAGGACATAATTTGACAAATATATAGTAAAATAATACTGCACATTATCCACTAACCCAGCAAACGGAGAATGGGAGGGAAGAGAAAAAAATACTGGGCTTTTATAATTTCTGGATTTACTTCATAGGTTTTCTTTTTTTTCCTTCCCAAGGGCAAAAGTATGTTGTAACAATTTTATAGATAGAAAATGAGTCCAACTCTCCATTGAAAACAGGGGCATTTTTTTCATAGGTTTATTATACTGTAAGCTTCTTTGCATAACATGGAAAGTGTTACAGAAGAAATATAAAGATTCCAGATGTGAAAAAGAAGAAAGCAAGCTCATTCATATAAACACTGTCCTGTCTGTGTTAGGTTAGTCAGCAGAGTTATGGACCACTTGGTCACATTTAAACAGTATAGGAAGAGAAATAAACAGGGAGGACATTGCTCCAGTACTGAACAAGTCTACTCAACTTTGCTGTACTCTTCTTACAGATTTAACCACTGACACCTTGCCTGTAGAGTGAAAGAAGAAAACTGACCAGTATTTTGCCCCTGTGAAGAAAACAGAATCCTGCCATCAACATCAAGCACGCATTTCCTTCCTCATTACTGCTACACAGCCAGTCATCATACTGATGAATTTCAGATATTAGTATTGGAGAAGCTGGTTATTCTCCAAGGAAGAATATACATATATGTTCTTGGAATATTCATCCAAGTGTTTAGACTGCTTTCAGAATGTTGTTAAATTGTTTCTGTTCAGAAGATAGCTGGATTACGATGAACAGGGATATTTTTGGACACATTGCTTGTGAAGAATGTGCAAAAACCTTGGCAGCCCAGACGCAGCAGGAGAGACTAGCAACAGGCAGCTCACTGTTCTGAGATCCACATCTGCTTTTACGGGAGCTCTGGGACAAAATGAAGCCTGCCTCTGCTGCTTTTTAGTGCCCCCAGCTTGCTTGCAGCCCACTGTCTCACATCTTGTACATCCCTTCACACAAGCAAGCCAGGAGTCTCTAGAAAGTATTTTATAATCCCTTGCAGGGAAAACTGCTTTTCTGACAATTGATGGGCTTTTCACCATGGTTCAGTGCTTTAGTGGTGGCTTCTGCTGTTCCTAGTTTTACTGCTTTCATCTGCCCTTCCATTGATGCTGGAAGAAATGCATTACCTTTAATGAGGTCTGCAAATGTCTACATATCAAATACCTGTTTGAGAGTTTTTTGTTACTATCGCACTGAACTGTGTGTTTAATCTGGGCTACTGCAGTACTACTCAACTCTATGCTAATTTCACATAACATTATCTCAAGCATTTCTAACAGCAAGGAAGCTAACAGAGGTCTGTTGGCTATCCTTCCCCTCCTTTCAGTGACTGAGTTCTACCCACCAGTTAACTTATGCAGTTAAGTATTACTAGAAAATGATTTAACATGCCAGTTATTCAGCAGCTGTAAATTGTCGTAATTATCCTATTCATTTACTGCAGCTGGGGATATGGCACGTCCATCTGCTCTTGGTGTGTTGCAGAAGGTGACAACCAGGAAAGCCAGCATTTGTGAGTGGCCAACTTGTTATGAATAACAAACAGGACATGGTCTATGAAACTCGGTTTGAAGCTGCTTTTACGTAAAACCAAGCAGTCACACAAAAACTCTTCTATACTCCAGTAATTGCTTCCCAAAATTCACTTACTCTTTTACATGGTCTTTCCATTTTTTTTTTGTTTTGTGTATGTATTTTGTATTAGGATGCACCATTAATCTTTCTAAATGCCATTTCTAGATAGACAATTTCTATGTGCCTTTGAACAGCCCTTTCCATTGTATCACTTTGTTAAACTCAAAATTTAACTACTTAATTTCATTATTTACATATGACTATTTCTGAGAAACGAAAGAATATGAATATAACCTTGTTCCTCTTGCTCTGGGAGAAATTAATAATTTTACTCAAGTATCATGTTCATAATAGTAACAATGGTGTCAGCTTGACAAAGGAGTTTTGTAACTCCATTGGGAACCTGAAGTTAGGGGGTATGCATTTCTCCAATGGCTTTAGGAACTCCTTGCAAAGACAGGAGAGTGTAGCACTAACATCTGCCATGCAGATGCATCATAATTTGTGTGTGTGTGTACATAGATGTCCTATTGTCTACATGCACTTATAACTTGAAACGAAAGCACTACATTATCATCCCTTTACCAAGCCACTTTACTGCATTCATTGCCAGGTTAAATGTTGCAGTGACCTTTGTCTGTAAATGGTTCTCTGTTATATCTATGGACCTTTTCTCTCCTCCTCACTGAACACATCTGAGGGCAACATTGCATCTTGCAATTCAGATTGTGAGTCATCTCATCCTTTATAATCATACTTAAACATGAAAAGATCAAAGAGGAAAAAAGAAATTAATTGTTTTGCATAATCTGACTGCTCCTAGAATTATTACTACATTCATTTTGTCAGCATGAAAAAGGACTTCAGTAAAAAGAAGTATTTTTAGCTTATATGATATGACATTACTTTTTTTTCCCCCCAGAATTACAAATAAATTTTGTCAGCATAATCAAAAGTACTCTTGTCTTATGATTCCTGGGGGTTACTATCTTAATTATTTTAAAATATATGATATGTGTAATAAGTATTTAAAAAAAAAAAAAGTGACAAAGTTGTGCTTGTGACTGAAGAGAGAACTGCAAACCTCCCTCCTCTGTGCTTCTACAGCAGTCAGCCAACCAAAAGAAGTGTGCTATAATAACATAAACGATCAGTGCAATATTAGTATTTAGTCTAAGGTGTGTGACTTCAAGAAAAAGAAAACCTACTGAAAGCATGCAACTGTAAACTATAACCCTGAAGTGGAATGAATGGTCAGCAGCATATGGGTCCTTAAAGTGATGATCTCAATGCTCTTCCGTTACCTCACCACCCTTTACCATCATGTGAGAGCCACTTCTAATTAATGCTTTATACAACAAAACGAACATCAATCACATGCTATTTGTACTCTTATATTCTAAGAGAACAAGCATGAGTGTCCATTTTTTTTCCTGCAGGTGTTAAGCTTTTTAAAAAGTAAGTATTGTTACATATTTAAGGAAGAGAAAGAAAGGTCAAGGAACTGGAATGAACGGTAGCGATTTTGCAATGCCAGTTCATCCCTGGGAGTTTGTTCTAGAGGCTAGAAGAATTCCTGAGAAGTTCTGCCTTCGGCACAGACTCCTCCCCACCGTTGGGTGTTTCATTGGGCCAGAGGTCTGGGCTGGCCTTGCTTCTGGCTCAGCTAAGTTCCCTTTCATGCTCTCCTTCAGTTTTCTATGTCCATTTGCAGGTATGCTGACGTGAAGGAGAGGTGTCTTGCTTCCAAACCCTCCAGCATAAATTTGCAGGGAGAGGCACTGCTAGGTCTAAAATTTTTGCACATGAGAAGTTTTTCTAACATATTGTATGTCTCGTCCCAGAATAAAATAATTTATTTTCACCCAAAGAAAAATAAATTCATTGAGAAATAAATCCATTAAGAGAACTCCATAGCTTTACCCTGCAGCCTCCCCATCTTTTCACTTCTCATGAAAGACTTGATGCACTAGGGAAATGTCATTCTAATCCTTACAGGACATTTCCTTCTAACATCTATAAGAGGGATGAAATGCTCTGGGTTTACTTACTTCGTACATAGCTGGCATTAAAACCTTTCTTTTGGATACTGAAGTCGCTTTTAAACAACACAATCATTTCATTTCCAGTAGAGTTATAGGATAATCCTTTGGCAGTGATGCCACAAAGGTTCATTGGGCTTTCTCCATTGTCTAATGTCAGTGAATCATAAATGCAGCCTGGAGCTTCTTCAATGTCAAAATCAATAAATGTTAGCTGTATGATGAATCCAAGAGGTGCTCGGATGATCCACTTGCATGCTTGGCTGTTGGGATAATCATTGGGATAGCACGGAGAAGTGAAAACTCCAGAGGGGTCAGTTAGCACGATCCTGCAGTCGTAGCATCCGTGAGCTGGCAAGAAAAACAGAGAAAGGCTGGAGATCAGGAAGAGACATAACTTAATAGGAAAGTATCATCAACACAATAACCAAATGTAGATCTCTACAGAAAAACATAATCAGAGATGGGAGGAAGAAAGGCAGAAAAAAGGCCTGGTTTCTAGTGGGCAAAATGCTGGAAGAATAGTACAGCAAAAGAGTACTTTATGTAAGAAAACCTACACAAAATAAACATAAAATATACTGCTAAATATTAATTTGTGACACAGTATGAGTCTACAATGCATATTGACTGAACAAAGGCAAAGCAAAAGCACCATTTTTTAATTCAGAAAGGCAAACAAATTCTTAAACTACAACTTCTAAAAAGATGACTAGTATCATTTACATTTTCTGGCTACTGGTCTGATGCTAACTAGTGGCTATTCCAGCAGCTCTATGCCATGCTATTGTTTCCAGTGGAATGTCCCTGGAATGTGGCAGCACAGAGATGAGCTGAAGAGTGGCAGCAGCAACAGTTCTGCAGAGCTCACAAAGGTTAGTCATCAGCATTTCCAGCAAATGCTCTCCATGTCTCCCAGAAGGGTAGCAGTAAGCTACTGGCTTTTGAATCCACAGAAAATTACTACACTCCTGCGCTCTTCCCATGCTGACTCAGCTCCATCAACATATTTGTGGCAGTCAGACTCTAAGAAATTCTTATCATATTCCTCATACTCCTTTGCTCACCTGCTGTGCTTATCCACAATTTCAGGCCCAGTTAGTCGCTGTGGTTGCGTCTATTGTTTGCTCATTTATCATATATTTACTTAGTGTATTATATGATATAATTACCACGAATTGACTGCTGCTAAAACCTGTAACAGTTTGCCAAATCAGTACTGAACAAACTAGGTAGGAATAGAATATCACGAACAGAAAACCAAAGAAACTAACTGGCACATTCATTGCAAACGTTTCATCAGGCTGTAATCCTGCATCAAGTACTACAAGTATGAAAAAATATGACTATACAAGCAGGCATTATTACTTGCAGAAGCAAAAAGCAACTAAAAATTTTGTCAAGTGCAAACTACATATAGAGCAGCTATAAAATAGGAATAAATGCAACAAACTTCTCCAAAGAACCCTCGATGTTTCTATCCACTGCTTGGGTCATTTTCAAATGGTGTTTGGACTAAGCAAATGGACCCTAACTCTATGAAGCTGCACAGCAAAACAAGAAGCAACTTACATCTGCAGGGAGAACTGTAAGGTGTATTTTACAGAGGTTTTATAATTTTTATTTGAAAGTCACAAATTCATATGGCCCCAAAAAGGTAAGAGACAATTAACTGGGCTCTCAGAGCTGGTTACATTAGAAAGATCAGAGGGATTCTTATTTGTTCAAATGAGAAAAAAAGATTGTCTGAAAGATTTGCCAATAACTTGGGAAGAAGCGGTGCTCATGACAATGGAAAATGATCAAGCAGTAGAAACAGGAGCCTTTCCACTCTTAATTTCTCTGCAGATCTTTACAGTCAGAGGACTATGCCCACCTACCCTGAAACTCTGCTGTTCCATTTATTAACCAAAGAGGGAATATTTATTTATTGGTATGGTGACTACAAATCCTACAATTGTACAAACAGATGACAGCTTCGTCCAGTAGATTTTGCACAGGTAAGTACCAGTTTTCAGAGAACCTCCCTAGTTTGAGAGGAGGAGAAACAAGAAAAGCATGCTCTATGCCACAAGCCCTGGCAGTCTCCTAGTCCAGGACAAGTGAACCTCTACAGGACAGAGCAGCTGTAAGACAGCTGTGTCTGGAGTGGCCTCCAGCTGGAAGGCTCAGTGATTCATGCTCCTGCCTTCATTTTTGCTAGGATGAGGGCTACAGGGGCTGAGGATTTGGCAGCATGATGCACCCACTCTCCTACTCATTCCTGCCAGAGAAATAAATGACACAGGGCTATCTAGGCAGCTGAGAGTATTCCCTGTGCACCCAGATAGATCTGAAGCCAGGGAGTAAGCTGTTACGTGATGTAAATACAAATAGAAACGTGGGTGTTAATGTACACTCATTCAGCCTTGGACCCCTAAAGTAAATCTTAAGGGCATTATAAAACGTCAAAAAAAAGAGTATCTCTCAAACTGGAAGAATATTACATTCAACCTGAGAGTGGAAAAGTCAAATTTGTCCATCAGAAAGAACACAGACATTCTTAAGAGAAGCCTGCCTTTATTAATTCCATTGATCACCATCAGCCAAAATAGGACTCAGCTTTTCCTTTTATCTCTCTCATGAGTATTTATTATTGTTTCTAAGTTGTATAACCCCCCCTATCAGTACATGTAATAAAAATACTTTTTCCCTGCTGTCACTGTAAATGCTAAAACATAAAGGTTATTTAAGTTACTGGGTTTCTTTACCCATTTAGTCTTTCACTAACATATTCTTATTTTACTATATCCATATTGTTATGTTGGTTTTACAGAACTAACACAAAAAAACAGACCCTAAATTTAGGTAGGAAAATAAGTGCTCAAAACTTTACATACACAGAAGATACAGATTTGGTCAGCAAAATAGTTTACTTTTTTGAAGTGCGTTGGCTCCGTTTTGGCATAGTACCTATTCTGTCCATGACTGCAATTTGAAGGAGAAATAGCCTGTTTTCATGCAAATGTCCACAGTAGTAAGTAAAAAGAAAAGAAAACAAACAACAAAACTATATATAAACAGAATGGTTTTGAATGGAACTTTCTGCACAGCTTCTCATGAGAGTTTTTTTTTCTATAAACACCATCTATTTTACTCATTAAAGAGAAAAAATTTCTGCGGCAAGTTTAGGCTGTCAGCCAAAGCTGAAAGATATTTTGCAATCCCATTGGCCCAGACCAGTTCTGAACTGTGGATACTGAATACTTGTTGCAATACACACCACAAATATTTCTACAAACCAATCTGAGATACTTTATTGATTTTAATGAAAACAAATTTAGGTATGATATTCTTGGTCAGGAACCCCACATACACAGAATGTGCCTATCAAGTATTTTTTTATTACCATAAACCACAGGAAATTTACTCTCTAAATATATTTTATCCAGAAAAGCCTTCATCTTTTCTCTCCATCTTTTCTTCATTGAACCAAAATGAGCACCCTCCTCATATAGTGAAATCAAGGACTTAATTTCAACATTTCCTAAATTGAAAGTTTCACTAGGTAATTAATTTTTCTCCATCATGAGAATAACCTGGAGTATGGTTTTCATTTCATAATCACTATTGATTTTTTTTCTGCAGGACTCATACTTCCTATAGTAAAAGAGTAATTAAGTATTTAGTATGACACTTAAACATTATACTAAAAAGTAAAATTAATAGGTTCCTCTGGAGTACGTTAGAGCTTTCACCAAAGTTATCTAAGCAATTCACAAATGTTAATTGACTTCAGAAGTGGAACTGACTGCAGGGGAAATAGCTTTTTCCCTCCTAACATATCCACTTTATAAGGACATTAGGCATGGAGATAATAGGCAAAAATGGCAAAAGTTTCCATGGATTTTGGGTTCTAATCTAAGAAATGAGAGTACTGATTTTCCTTAACTACTTAGTATTTGTACAGGGTTTTATATGTCCAACCACACTATCAATGACCTTAAACTGCAGCTGGAAGAGCAGTCTGCCAATCTGGCCCACTGTAGAAAATCCAAAAATGAGTACTTAGTGGCCAGTGGAAATTTTGGTCAAAGCAATTTGGCCATTTTTAATAGGAACTTATCACTAAAGGCGGGGATAGAATCCTGTTCTCATGGTTGCCAATTTTCCTAACCATGAGACCATTCTCTCTCTTCTAGGAGTCTTCTGCCTGTTTCACATATATACCTTTGAATTTCTATGAAGAGGAAAGTAACCTGTACTAGTCTTTCCTACACCATGCTGAATCATCTGCAGACTGTCCCAAAACTAAGGGTCTAAGTTACACAGTACCGTGACTCATTAAAGATTGCACCATACAAACAGACCTGCGCACACACTGTGCATAAACCTCATATCCTACGGAACAAAACTAATTGCTCAGCTTGCCCCATCTGCCGATTTTGTCTCTTTAGAGCATCAGCACAGAATTCCACCATTGGAACTCATGAAGGCACCTGTAGGCACTGAGATACACAATTTGAAAGTGACTTTCACAAGCCATTTGTGGGCAGCTGAAGCCGACATCAGACCCAGAGCAACAACGCTGAGCCATAGGTTTGGGAATGAAACATCCTGTATATAACCTCATCCCATACATTTGTACTTCTCTTTTTCTGATTTCTGCTTAAATGACTAATACATTCCAGCACTTGCCTCCAAAATCTGTGCTAATATTCATATTTTTCTCTAGCTCCTAACATTACTTCTCTCCATTGTCACAATTTTGCCCCAAAACCTCATCTCTTGCCTTGTTATACACTGCACTTCTTTCTCAGCCATGAGTTTTTACTTTTTCTCCACCTACATTCATTTCTGCACTTATCCAACCTTGGAGAAATGCTGGACAATAAATTTTGTCTGGCCAAGAACTTTTCAAAGGAGCAAAAGCAATCTATCTTGGGACACTGCCTGTTTCAGCCCTAAAGACTTGAGGTTTGTGAAGGTTAGGATCAAAACAAAACAGGATTTCTGGGGAAAAATGTCTGTGCTTGAAGTCTGTGCATTATCCAGTTTGTTTTCACACTAAGTTATACCTTGAATTGGGTTTTTCTTTTTACAGATGTAGTGTGCAGCTGGCCTTCTGTATAGCATTTTCCACCTTACAGAAGTGTAAATGACTACATATGCGTAGGCAGCAGCACAGGATGCCAATGATAGTCGGTGTTAGTTCAGCTAACACTACTGGTATTTTTTTTTAATCCATTAAAAGGCCCCCTCATAAAAGTAAGACAGAATGGTGCTGGATTTCATTTTGGCATGAAAATTAATTTTATTTCCCCTGTAGAGGACACAACTGTCATATGAAAATATCCTGAAATAAATCTATC